CCCACACACACACCCACACACACACCCACACACACACTTATTGGCCTTTCACCTGTATTGTACAACATATTTGATAAAAAATACATATGCATAGCCATAATTCTGTTTTTGTATGGAAGGTGGCTAAGACAAAGTAGGCCAAACACCGTAGGGGGACACTTTGAATTCAAACAGATCATGCTTTACCAGATTCCTGCCCCTCTCCCTCCACCCTCCCCCCAAAAAATTAAAAAGCAGCCTACCAAGTTAAAAAAACGGGGGTCTGCTTCAAGTAAAGAAGAAAGTTTTCCTTTGTTATTCTTTTTCCTCCCCCCTCCCAATATCTTCTATGCCATTCTAGATGCTTAATTTGCAACTTTTCACCAAAATTAATATCTGGAGTAGTATGGTCAGTCAATGAGTGAAAACATACTCTGAAATCATCCAATAAAAATAAAAAGTCATTCCTTTTGCAAGACAGTCGGCCTTTAAATAGACTGACTGTACCTAAGTCAAGTTGAATTAAGTGATTGCTTTTTTTCATTCATTCTGTCTATACCCATTTATCAGCACTGATCTGAAACACCAGTTTTATAGCAGGAGTCTCAGGAAGGGAATAATCATATTGGTAAATATAATACAAGCTAGCTGCACAGCCAATTTATATTTTCCTAGCTCATCACCAGGGCATTACCCAAATACCTTAAACCAAAATGCTGTACTCTGCCCCATTTATGTGACATGCTAGAGAACACAGAACGAGCAGAAAGAGAGAGAAAAGGTCCATTTGGTTTGAAGCTGACACATTAGCCTGGCAAGGCTGTAGAAGAGGAGAAAAACACTACATCCATCACAAAAGCCAATGTTATTTCAAAGTGAAGGCAAAGAAGCCCCTTTTGCTTGAAGGTTTAATACCAGACTTATCAGTTAAGCACCATATTCCATATCAAGTACCCTACCCACCTGCCAAACCCATCAGTGGAGAGAACTGGAGCACCTCTTATATGACTGCTTTCAGCAACTGAATGTGCCCAAGGGGAGTAGCTTACAGCATGGGCTGGTAGAGATCAAATGCAGGTAGGATTTTAGAGCAAAATCTTATCCAAAAATAAACAAACAAACAAACAAACAAACAAATAAAATTTAGAATAATAAACAATTCAGAAAACTGAAGCTTTCCAAACAACGGCACATCCATGTTTCTCATGATCATTCTGTCACTTCCCCAGTAAAATGTTATCAGCATCAGAATAAATTCACAGCCCCTGCCTTTGTCACCAGTGACAATAAAGATTATTGCAATACCTGGAGGTAGCGTCTCCATACTTTGTGCTTTGTCCTCCCCATTGTTACTTCGTGAGTCTTTTCTTTTTGGTGAATCAATGTCATTTGGGTCCTCCTGAGGGGGAGGAAAAAAAAGTATTTTCTTAAAGCCACTTCTTAAAGCAACACAATTAATTGGTATTTCATTTTCTGCATTTTCAAAGTGGACAGCAACAGCATGGTCTCTAAATCATATTAAGGATGTAAAAAAATGGGAAAGGTCACTTTTGGATATAAGCAAAAGGAATGGATTTCTTTCCCTATTTTTACAAAAACAACAAACTACGGAGACAAATGCTTCATTTAAGCAGCAAATACCTTCTTACTTAGAAAGGAAAAAAGCCCTTCCCTTTTTTCAAAGAGAAAATATATTAGGAAATACACACAGTTCGTTTCTATAAAGAAAGGAAAAGAACAAACAAAACCAAACCTCAAGTAAGCAGACTGTGCAAAGAGGTTTTCCTATTTAGACAATCTCCCTCTGCCTCATAGCTGCTATTCAACATTGCTAAGTTACTTATCAGCTTTCATTGTCATTTTGGTAAATGGTTTTCTAACACAAAACTTCTGAAAAGTACATGACAAACAGCCATTTAGAGGCATCCTTTACAGAGGAATCCAAGCTAGCAGCAGATTTTCAAATAAAATATCCATTAGACCTTATGACTGTAGTTCTAGATATACACACTGATATAGTAAAGAGCAAGTGTCAGTATGCTTTTCCCCTTAAATTTCAGTAAAGGTACTTTACAAATATAGAAAGACAAATTTCACTAAGAGCTCCATTTTCCTTTCTGCAGAGAAGTCATCACGAGTACTTATGTTTCTATAGAAACAACTGATCATTCACTATTAGGACTTCACAGAATCAATTTGGAAGAGAAATTGGGTTAAAAGAAAAACATGCATGTAAAGAGTGATAATGAAATGTACAACTAGCACAAGGTTCTACTCTGAAGAATCTATGGAAAACACTTTACACAGTATATCTACCCCCCATGTTTATTCAGTCGTCTGTTATCAGTATCAAGAATCTTTGCTACCCTTTATCCTGTTAGAGTTGGAATCAACAAAACTAAAGAGAATGTTATTTTTTCTTGTACAGACTTTGCTGCTAAGTCCCAACTACAGGGCCAATTTCATCTGTACAAATCTAGGCAGAATTTGTCTTACGAAGGCTTTAATACAGACAGCGGCATCATGCAAATAAACAACGACGCTTCAAGTCCAAACAAAGAATATACACAGACGTCACATTTCTAGTGGGACAGCTGCTGTTCACCCTCCAGAAACTGGTAGAGTACAGGTATTTCCAGTTTCTCCCATAGGAACCATGCCAGAGCTAAGAGAAAGTCTTTCATCTATCAGTAAGGAAGATATCCCTGTGCAAGAGTTTCTCACACAGACACTCCTGTATGAGTTTTTCTTCTGGGACCCAAGAGGAAACAAACAGTAGGGAAAAGCTCCTTGCGTCCTCCCCAGATCAGTTTTGTCCTTTGGAAGGGATACACTCCACTAGCATAGATAAGAGCATAGGTTGGCTCAGAATACATTTATAGTTTAAATGCACATTTACTGCTGCATCAAGGGGTTTCTCTTCACCTACAGTTGAAAACTGCTTTAGAAGGGTTAATTTGGTTTAAACATATTTAGGGTTAAATGAAACGACCAACCGGCCAAGTGACATTCCTTGGGTTATGTCTCAGGACACAGAAGGAAGGATTGTACACACTGTACATTTTCACACTGTAAAGAAGCTATTCTGCAACACTAATTTTTTTGAAGTAAGAACATGTAGATATTAAACTAATGTTGGAGGTGGGTGGAACAGTTATTAGAATAATATTTTCATTGCCAACTTTTTTTAATATCTTCCATGGCATGACAAAACACAGTTTTACCAAAAATAAATATACTAAGCTTCTACATATAAAGCAGGTCTTGAAACTGTAGGGGAAGAGATTAAATTTGCCCACTGCTTGATTACTTTTTGATTCAAAGATTACTGCATATAAACAGAACAGGAATTTCTTTTCTCCCCTTTTATGTGGAAGGTTTTTCTTCAACTTCGCAGAAATATTTCAACCATCTCAAGTAAAGACAACTGAAATACGAAGCTCTAAATCATCCACTAGATCTCTCAGATTTTATACCAATTGTTTACTCAAACAAAACAAGAGTCCACGAATTAGAACTCCAATATTCATCATATTAAGCAGGAGTAAGAACAGCATACCATTTGAAAGTCTCATCTCAACCCTGAACTGCAGTGCATTTTTTAAGCTACAGATCACACACAAAACTGACACTGAAGGTTAGTTGGCAAGAGTCTAATCTTGTTTTAATCTTCTTTTTTTCTCTTCAAAGTTTGTGACATAAGAAGAGGGAGGAAGTGAGTTATAGTAACTAAAACTAACCCTCTTGGCTATTGTGGTCTACGGAAGAGTTTAGACAATTACAAAATGGAGAAAAAGTGAGAAAAGATATGCATTTTGAACTTTTGGGAGCTTAAATCTGAACATAGAGGAGGGGAAATGCTTTTTAAAATTTTAAGTTTGATTACTATATTATATTAGTGGCATGAGTGAGGTAGCAAGAAACTAATTCTGCTCCGAAAATTTAAAATTTATTCCTCAGCTTAATAAAACCACATTTTTACTTTAACATAATGGTAGAAGTATGCGATCCGGTAGAGAGATTAAAAGCTAGTTCAATATGGTTTTGAGCACCAAAATGATTCACAGTTAAAGTTAGTGAATAATCATATTACTACTATCATGGTTTGCTGTATATCACTTTTTCCTCCCCTCCTCCTCCACCTTCTTTCTTACTATATAATTTAGTATTAAATGCAAGTAACTGCAAGCTTTTTAGGGCTAGGACAGTGGTTTTTATACATCTGTACTGCACTTAGCACCAAAAGGTAACAAAAATCATGATTAAGACCTCTAGGTACTACTGAAAGATTAAAAGGAGTGTACTTTAAAGTTATAACAGGTATTTACTATTTCCTCCATCTTTCCAGCTCTGTTCATAAAAGTTATTAAGTGTCTGCAATTGACCATACATTGAATAGTAACATTATGATAAGACAGCTTTACCATGATTTTGTATTCCATAATTTATACTGTATTAAAAATAGAAGGGGTAACAACCTAGACTTATAAAACTTAAAATTTTAGAATGCTAAAATAATCTTGGCAATTTGAAAATTGGCAGTCAAAGTGAAATAAATGACTTCCATAGTATGACATTCTGTACAGTGTGTTTAAAGATTTATATAGATTACAAGGATGGCAATGAAACCAAACCAAATCAGAGAAAGTTGTACTTCACTTGACACCATCTGCTAAATAGGAGTAATCGTGAGAAAGGAGAAGCATACACTAAAGTTTATTGTCCATTTTGGCACCTGCTTCAAATTTTTGTCCAAGAGCCACTTACAGGCAGATTTGCTGCCACTGACATTTTTTTTTTTTTAAAAGGAAACCTAATACTGGCAACATCTTCACTGACACAAAGGGTACCATTTGATTCAGTTGAAGTAAAATAGGACTTTTCTATCTCATACAGCTCAGATCAGTCAAGTCAGTTGAGGGCCTTGGAAAAGATAGCTCTGTTATATCAGCTATATTTTCTCAGCACTCCATGCACTTCACTGTTATGCTAAGGCACTTGGTACTAACTCTACAAAATAAACTGGAATACTGCAGTACTGAATGCTGCAGCAACCCGCTGCCTAGGGGAATTCACACTCCTAAGTTGGGTGCTCTGACTCCCAATTTAATGTATGGATGCAGTTGCGTACCAAGGAATCACAAAGGTAGCCTATTCAACAGAAAGGTACTTAAGTTAATCAGTAAAAATACCAAGGACAGAGAGGTATGTTTGAATCTGTGTCCCTGTCTGGAACTTAGGCACCTAATCAGGGATCCTGGGGGTTTTTTGTTTTGTTTTTTAAACAGAAAAATCACAAATTCTCTGATAAAACCCTACAGATTTGCTGATTAAAACACTCCCAAATCCACGACTGAAATGAAACACCACTATAGGTTTAGGTATCAATTGAACTCAATGTTTTATTGATATATTTAGAATTGTAAAGCAATTTGAAAGCCTACCAGTGCTTCAATCAGTATAATAAAATACATTTTAAGTACTATAAAATTTGGTATTTGATTTTGGGTTTATCATGGAAAATCAGAGCTCCCCCTGCCCCCTTTGCTCACTAGAATGCAGGTCCAGGCCCCTCTCTCCCCACCCACAGCCCCCTGCAACCCCAGTCTTGCCCGAGGGGGCCCCCAGCTGCCAGGAACCCAGGTCCACAGCCTCCCGCCCCCCCAGCACCACCCAAGCCCTGGCTGCTACTCATGGAAGACAGTGGCTGCTGTGCCCGAGTGGAGTGTGGCTCTCCCTCCCCCATAGGTGGCACAGCCAGGGCAGAGCCCATGAGGGGGGAAGGGGAGAATGCTGAGGGGCTGCTTGCTGCAGGCTTGGGGCTCCTACCCTTATGCCCCACCCCCCTCCATAGCCCTCTGGGGACAGGACCTGGCACAGCAAGGCAAAGCGGGGCCGGGCAAGGAAGCTCCTTGCCACCGCAAGCCCTCAGCCGCCCTGGCAAGACATCCCCAGCCTGCCCGGCAGCAGCGGGAGGCACAACCTTTTATCACCTTCCCACTGTTGCCAGGGGTGCAGGGGGCGCTTCACCATGGTGGT